AGAAATAGCAGCATTGTCCATTATTGTTTCATATTCCTTTTTGTGGGAAGAAGGTTAAAACTGACAATCATTTATGAATATTTGAATACTATTTTTATACGGGGTTCCTCACATCAATGGTTATTGAAGTTGAGTAATAATTACTCTAATTTCTAATTATTAGATTTTAAAATTTAACTATCTTCTAAGAGAGAACTTATAAAATTTGATTGTTGTGGTGGATATCTGTATGTCTCTTAGATGCTTGCAAATTAAAGTAAAATGGTGTGATTGCTTCGAATTAAAGTTCAATGATCTGTTTGCAAGGAACGATAACTAGTCATCATGGGTGAATTTCATGCCAAGATTGTACTTACACCTAAAAGTTCGAATTCAATAGTTGGACTTACAATGTAGCATGTGGGTGTTCAAAGAATTGCTCTATTCCTTAGCTAATGTCTGAGCGATAAGAGAGTTAGGTACCTCATGGTTGAAAATGGTTGTCAAATTTTTGGTGATTAACAATCATACTTTTGAATGATTTCTTTAAAGTTGGATTGATTGACTTTTGAAACAATTTGATAGGAGTCAGTGGTGAGAGAGATTATTATTTAGGTAGTCAGTGGTGACTTTTATACTTTGGATCATGGTAGTGTTGACGGTCTACCTAAAAAAGTTCAGGTGGTTATGACATTGGTGGTTGTATTGCGCCATCTATGGCATTGTAGTACTTGAGTACTAAAATCACTAGAGAACCTGAGAAAATGTAATGTTATACCTTCTGATTGGACCTTCCAGGTGAGTACAATGTTTCGGCTACTTTTAATGTATCTGATCTCTCTCTGTTTGATGCAGGTTCAGATTCGAGGATGAATCCTTTTGAAGAGGGAGGGGATGATATGATCCAGGAGTCGAGTCCGACGAAGGCAAGTGCAAGACGAGACCCGTTGATAGTCGATGGCGGACCAATGACGCGATCAAGGGTAAAGCAAGTGAAACAAGCGATGGGATTGCTCGTTTAAGAAATCATTGATGGAACCATGTTCGGGACTCAAAATGAAGCAACTTTCATGTTCAGGTCGAATGCTAAATCAACTTGGATCAATTTGTTATCAAGCGACGAAATCGGAGGCTGAAAACAAGCCTGTGCGACCACACAGCAAAAACACCATGCGGCCGCATGGTGGCATTCCGAAACTCAAATTGGGGTTTTGTTGAATCATGCGGTCGCACGGGCCAAAAAATTTGGCGAATTTTTCAATTTTGGCAACTTTTCATATTTTGTAAGATTTTGATTCTTTTCCATATTTTGAGGATTATGATCGACTTTTGCACGATTTTTACCTAGTTTTTAGGTTTAGTATAAATAGAAGTTTCCATTCAATTGTTAAAAATCTTTGACATATTTGATATTGAATTAAAAGTGAGGCCTATTGTCTTTCTTCATCGTTCTTCATTGAACAATTTCGAACTTATCAAGTGTTAACTTGTGGTGTTCAAACAACCGGATTTAATTCTTGGATTGCGTGATCAATGGATCTTTCAAGCGTCGTTCTTGTTGGGTTTTTTTGTTCGACTTTCTTTTGGGTTAATCCTAAACTCTTGGATTAATTTGGCTTTCTTGGGTTCCTCAATCTCGTTGTGGGTTTCGTAGTCAACGTTGCTACGGGGTTCGCATTAGTTGATATCAGAGTTTTAGCTCCAAATTAATTTAAGGTTATATCTTTTCTTTATTTGTTTGGGTCATTAATTGTTTTTTTCTTAGTTCTTCTTCGTTCTTGTTTTCTTTTCGTCGTTTCATTGAGTTGTTAGTAGTTTACTCATCTTCTTTCATCAAGGAGTAAAAAAAAAAGTACAAAAAAAAAACGGGAAAACAAATTTGATATTATTATTGTTTGATTTTATTTTTCTACCAACAACAATTCCTACATTGTGTTTGATTTTGGGATATTCAATTGGGTTTGATCCTTTCAATCTTCTTTTGAGTCTATTCATATTTTCGTGTCAAAATATTCATCTATTCCACTTATTCAAGTCCTTTGAGTCTTGTGGTCTTCGATT